CAACCTATAGGGTCATTCTCCAGCATGGTATCCAAACAAATATTAAGATCATAGAAGATTCCTCCATAGATGCAACCACAGAGATAACTTTGTTCAACACATCTCTGACCATTGAGTAAAGGGATTAAAAAGTTGTCTTTAACTGTCATGGAAGATGACCTTATCTGAGGTTCTCCAGATCCTACAGTTTGTGGGAGAGTGCTGAGTGATCAGCCTCCAGAATATTAATTACCTTATCAATGAAATTCACAAACACTTAATCCACACAAGTGAATTCAAGGGAATGAAAAAAACAACAACAAACTATTGCCTGAATTATGATCTAGAATTGACCAGAGAACTTGCTGAGTTAGTCCAGTGGTATAGCTATCTTTAAAAGCTACAGCAGATGCAGAGGGATCTGAACTTAGAATTTAATAAGAGGAGAGCAGACCGCCACTTTTCAGTTTTACAGAGAAGCTAGAATTTAAATCACGTAGGCAGCTGTATGGCACAGTGGACTGGACTTGGGAGTCAGGATGACTTGGACTTAAATCCTGCCCCAGTTACTTATTAGCTGTGTGAAAGCTGGGCAGGTCACTTATTCTTTTCTCATCTCAGTTTCTTCATCTGTAAAATGGAGATTAAAAATAGTACCTGACTCAGAGGGTTGTTGTGAGGATCAAATAAGATAAAACATATAAAGTGCTTTGTACACCTTGAAGCATTATGAAATAAATGCTAGCTCTCATTATTATGTACTGATTCTGTTGTTCATTATTATCAATGATGAGCAAGTGTTCTCTTTCTCATTTGATCCACCTTGCATTTCTTTGCATTGTGTTGGACTTCTTGTGACTACACGTGTGTTGTTGTTAGGTTATTTTTCAGTTGTATCCAACTCTCCATTACCCCATTTGGGGTTTTCTTGGCAGAGATACTGGAGTGGTTTGCCATTTTCTTCTCCACTTCATTTTACAGATGAGGAAACTGAGGCAAACAGGGTGAAATGACTTGCCCAGGGTCACACAGCTAGTAAGTGTCTGAGGCTGGATTTGAACTCAGGAAAATGAGTCTTTCTGACACCAGTCTCTATGCACCATAGCACCACCTAGATGCCCTATATCTATATATAGACAGCTACAAATTTTCTGCATCCTCCTTTGGGAGTTTCCACTAGTGACTGAATTCTTTACTTTTCTGTCCTCTACAGTCAACTTTTTAATGAGTGTTGAGTTTTTTTTTCCCTTTGTACAGATTGACTCCTCAAATCACCTTAACTTTTTAGTTTCCATTGCTGATGAAGGGAATCTAGAATTTATGATATGCCTTTTTCCTCCATTCCTTTCCATGCATTTATTTCTTGTGGCCTTTAATCAGGCCAAATGGCATCCAAGTTTTCTATTATATAGATCATCTAGAGGTTGATGTCATCTTCCAATCTCTCTCCACAGAACTTCAATGGAAGATCTCTCAAGTGTTTCTGCCCTGGTAGTGGTTGGCTCCATCCTTAAGGCTATTGATTGGATAGTTCCACCTTTCCTCCTATGCTTCTTACTATGGCAATGGTTGTATATACGCAGATCCTGGAGTACTGTTGCATTCTTGGTCGAATATTGTGGGAGAATGTGTTTGTTCACTATGGTTAGAGCAGGTATCAGCTTCTTGGAAATGCTGTGTTTTGAGATAGACTGATAAGAGGAAATATGGCTACCCAGAGATAAGCAGAAATGGAGGATAAGAAGTGCTCCAATCTTTGAGAGTAATAGAGAGCTTAGCGGGTGTTCAGTCATTTCTAATGCTTCATGATGTTGTGTGAGGTTTTTCTTGGCAAAGATAATGGAGAGGTTTACCATTTCCTTCTCCAGTTCATTTTACAAATGAAGAAACTGAGGCAAACAGGGTGAAATGATTTGCCCAGGGTCACATAGCTAGTAAGTATCTGAGGCTGTATTTGAGCTCATGTCTTCCTGACTTCAGGTCTGGTGCTCTATCCACCATGTCAGCGAAGGATGTAGTATATAACTACCAGAATAAATATTTTCATGACTAAGTATCAGGTAAATGGTTAGCAATGTCTTCTGGTGGTTAACATTTTTTTTTTCAACTTTTATCAGAACCTTTTTTTTCATGTGAATAAAGGTTAAAATTGTGAATTTTATAATCAGAAGGGACTTTATAGATCATTTAGTCTTATCCCTTCACTTTCTAGATAAGAAAACTGCAGATCAGAGAGGTTAAATAACTTGTCTGATGTCACATGGGTGGCAAAGGGCAGATTCCAGAACCAAGCCCAGTCTTTCAGATTCTAAATCTAGCATGCTCCCTACTAAGCCTGATTATTGGTTCTTGTCATTTGCTTTGTGTCCTATGGGCTGCATAAATTTCCAAATGTGAATTGGCCCATCCTCTTCCACCTAAAAAGTTCTGGATTCAGAACATTGTAAGCAACTTCATGGTTCTAAATGCACGTCATCTTCCAAAGGATAAACATTTCCTTTCCATTTTTCTTGTCCTCCAAAGGGCAATGGAAAGATCTAGGTTCATAACCTCCTCCATGCACAGGTCCCCTCTCTCAGCCCACATTTCCAATCTGTTGCTAAATCTTGTTGTTTCTACCAGTACAATATCACTTATATACAGCTTCCTGTCTCAACTTATACAGCCCCAAATCTACCACAGCCCCTCATCCCCTCTTACATGAACTATCATGATAGCCTACTAAATAACTGTCCTTGTGACTAAAATTTCTCCCATTTCTGATTCTCCTCTCTTCTCTCAGTTGCCCAGGTGACTTTTCTAAAGCATAAAATAATGACAACTAACATTAATACAGTGCTTTGAGGTATGCAAAGCAGTGTCTATTACCTCATTTGATTCTTACAATGGTCCTGTGAGGTAGGTACCATTGTTGTTCCCATTTTACAGATGAGGCAACTGAGACCAAGAGAGGTTAAAGGACTTTTCCAGAGTCACATAGCTAATAAATGTCTCTGAGGCAGTATTTGAACTCAGTTCTCCTTGATTCCAAGTCATTGTGCCACGAGTGTGAACCATGAGTGAGTACCATGAGTGTGAACATGTCATGCATCCTTGCTCATTAATCTCCAGTGGTTCCACATTCTTCCAGGATAAAATATCAACTCCTTTGTTTGGCCTTTAAAGTTCTTTATAATCTGACCTCTTTCTATCTTTCCAGTCTTCTTATACTTTTCTCTCCTCCACACAATCTATAATCTACCTCTATCACCTATTTCCAATTTGTTTTGTTGCTGTTTTTGTTGAGGTAATTGGGGTTAAATGACTTGTCCAGGGTCACACAGCTAGTAAGTATCTGAGATCAGAGTTGAACTCAGTTCCTCCTGACTCAAGGGCCAGTGTTCTCTCCACTGCACCACCTAGCCACTCCTGCAATTCCTTGAATATAAAATTTCTTATCCCAGCTCCCTGCCTTTGCACTGCTTATCCATCCTGACTGTAATTCTCTGCCCTCATGCCTCTTAGTTTCTCTGGATTCCTTCATGGTTCAGCTGATGTTTCACCTTCTATGGGAGTCCTTTCATGGTTCCCACAGCTACTAATGCCTTCCTCTCCAAAGTGACCTTACGTCTACTTCATATGGAATCTCTATTACATAAGTTTTGACAAGTCTCTCTCATTGGAGCATCAGCTCCTTAAGGATAGGAGCTGTTTTTTTCCCCTCTTTCTTTTAAATCAGTGGACAACATGGAATTACCTTGGCTATGACTGTGTACACCATCCTTGTCTTTTTCTCCCCTTTCTTAAAAAACTGGATCCTATCGGGGATGACAGAGCAATTCTAACTGCCACTTTGAGGTGGTCCAGCACCAGTTCATTCATCATTTTCTAAGCAGTGAGGGATGCTTGAATAAAGAGCTGATTGAACCTTTAGATTTTTCACTGATAAATGGATCTACTTATGCTTGCCAAAGGTCAAGAAGGCAGAAGGTCCTACTCAGAATTAGGACTTTGTGATTCAGTCAAAAAGGTTACATTATTCCAAGTGGGGTCAGAAGAGAACCAGAAAAATGTATCTCCAGGGAGCAAGATTGCATCTTTTTTTTTTCCTCTTTTTTTTCCCCTATTTTGTATGTGTAATTTTCAGTTTTAGACAGAAATCTTCTTGCTAGGAGACTCACCCTAATGTTGCTGATGGCGACAGGGAAGGAAATAAGAATCCCAGCTCCGTAAATCCAAGCTCTTGGGACATAAGTGGATTTGACAGTTTGGCAGTGTTCAGTTTGGGTAATGAAATAATCACTTTAGTGGCATAAAAATAATAAGTGAGAGAATAAACTGGTATAAACCAGACTTCAGTGGAAAGTACTACAGTGCAGGGAGGGAAAGGACTGAGCTGCTTGCTCTTGGGTTTTTAACAGAGTTATCATATCTAGAAAAAGGTCAGCTGGAAAAGATGAGTCTGGCATTAGAAAAAAAACACTACAAACTAACAGTGATTTGTTAGTTTATTTGGTTGATATTATGAGGCATAAAAAAGAGCAGACACACAGAAATAAGGAAAAGGAGGCTGGATTTATGGTTATTTGGTACATCTTTACTGAGAATAAAAAAAGAATCAGTAGGAAGACAGAAGAAAGCAGAAAGCAACAATAATGTACTGTATATGTTGAAATGACAGAAACAGTGACAGAAAAGAGAATAAAAATGTAATATACGGGAATATAAAAATTAAGGAACCATGATCCTATTTTTGCTGGTTCTATGAATTATTTTCTAGTGTTTGGTCTATGTCCATTTCTCATTACTTTGGGGAGTTTACCTTGGTTTTTACAGATGTCAGGGTCTCTTAGAAAGGTAGGTTCTTGCTATCCACAACCTTAAACAAGGGGATGCACAGCTTAAAGAACAGATTTTTTTTTTTTTTTTGCATTTAGCAATCAGAGAGAAGTAGACAAGTTGAGACAGAAGAAAGTCTTACCTTCATATGGGGCATGTGCCCCCACAGGTCCTTTGTGACATTTGGCCCTGATCACTCCCTTCTAACAGCAGCATTGCTTCTTGCAGCAGCATTTCTGTTGGCAGCAGCCCTTGCCACAGCCACAGGAGCCACAGGAGCCACGGCAGCAAGTGCGGCGGCAGCAGATGACTGTGGGACTACAGCAGCCCCCACAGCAGCCACAGCAGCAGGGACAGCAGGCAGAACAGCAGCCTACACGGCGGCAAGTGCAAGTGGTACAGCTGCCACAGCCACCGCAGCCACCACAGCTGCCACCACAGCCGCCACCGCAGCCACCACAGCCACCACCGCAGCCACCACAGCCGCCACAACTTCCTCCACAACCACAGCAACCCATGGTATCAGTGCAGAGAGTTTCAGGTAAGGTGAGGAGACAGGAGTCAGGAGAGGTGAGTGAAATTTGATGCTCTCCTTTTGCAGGGCAGCCCTTATATACCCTCCTGGGAGGATTTGTCTGAAGACACAAGACCTTGTTTTTGTTTTCCTAGTCTCCACTGGACAAGCACTTTCTTGTTTACTTCTTCATTGACATCTTTAACCTCATTAAATTGCTTATTTTAGACTGTTTAAATTTTTCTTCTATTTCAAAGTCACATTCCAGGAAGTTTTTGGAGGGTTAGTCATTCAAGACGGGGCAGTAGGAGTTTTCAAGGGAACCAAGCTCAACATATACCTCTTAAAAACAATAGAGACACCACGGAGAACAAAAAATAGTCAAAACAAACACACAAGATACTAAATAACTACCAAAATAGAAAATAAGCCAAGCTAAAAAGAGCTCTGATACCTAAAAAATACTGTGGCACAACCCAAACAGCTAAAGCCTCAGAAGCAACATACCTGAAAAAAAGAAGGCAAGATATCCTAGGAGATCTTGTTCAGTAGGTGAGTAACACATGTCCAGATCTAAACAAGAATTAGCACAGATAAGAAAACCACAAGAGTAGTTAAAACAGTTTGAACAAAAACTTTGAAAGTCACAGAACTAAAAGTATAATGAAGATATGGGAAATAATGAAAAAAAGAAAAAAAATAGAAACCTTAAAAACGAAGCTACCAAAGAACCAATAAAACTTGGCAAAGCAGAAAATAGAATTTCAGACAATATAGTTAAAATAGTTTGATAGTTGACAAAATTTGAAAAAATGCAGATCTGAGTAAAAATAGAATAGAAATGAAGGACAGATCAAAGGCAACAATCTCAGGATTAATGGTTTTCTAAAAAATTATGAAAAAGGAAAAAATCTGAGCACTATATTATGGGACATAACATAAGAAATCTTTTCAGAATTAACAAATAAAAGCCACATGATACAAACAGAAGAAACAGGACTCAATGAAGATGAACTTCATGAATTCTCTCTCTTAGACATACGTCATACAAGATTTAGCATCACAACAAGGAAAAAATTCATTAAAACTCCAAAAAGAAATATGAATATGACATAACAATGGTTAGAAATCCAGACCACTGTGGTCGTCTCAAAGAAGACAAAGAATGAGTGGAAAAATTGAAATGTGGTATAAACAAAACTTAGAAGCATAGACCATGAACCCAGAATTATCTCTCTATTCAAACTTTGTATGCCATTTGAAAGCAAAAAATGTATTTATTTGTGAAGCATCTAGACCTTGACTAGTTTGCAGACAGTTACAAGCCTTTCAAATACGATTTTGAACAATAACTTTAATCAAAAAAGATAATCCCTTAAAACAATTTGCATTTCTCAAATGAAAAAAAAAATAAGTCGCTAACTTCCTTCAGATTGTTGTATGGGTTAAAGGGACATTTCACGTAAATAAATAAAAAGGGAAATATAATGAGGGTGGAAGTGGGTGGGGAAAGGTAATCCCAACTGAAGCTCTTATTCTTTGATAAAAGGGAAGTTCAAAGTCCCAGAAAGCCACATAGTCTATTGTTTATTGAACAAAGGAATTTGGTTTAGAGGGCTTTTGTTAAATTTGGCTTAAAAATAATAACAAAAAAGTTTGAGAGTTTATTGTTTTCTTCCATTAAATTTAACAGTAACTTAAATTTTAAAATAATTTAATAATTAATAATATAAATGAAGAAAAATTTTGTATTTGAAGCATTAAATGTAAATGGATTAAGTGATCAAAAAAAGAGAAAAAGAACAATAGAATTTATTAAAAATTAGAGTCCAAGAATATACTGTTTACAGGAAACATGAAATCATTGTTGGATCAGTAGGGGTGCTGAGGGTAAATTTGCATGTGCTGGCCATCGTCCCCACCCCCATAGTAAATTCAGTCCTAGATCTTTCAGTCCCTCCATCATTCTCTTGCCTGTTTTTTTTTTTTTTTAATTATACCCTTTGGTTCCTTCCTCTATTGTTAATAACTCTTTTTCATCCTAGATAAATTTTTCTCACATTCCTTACAATTTTTGAGTCTTACTGAAAACATGGTTTTTTTCCTTAAGACAATACAGCTTTTGGTTCCCCCCTCCCAAGCTGTTTGCTTCTTCACTCATGACCCCTGACAACCTAAGACCTTGGAGAAGTTCACATACATCTTGCTCCTCATTGCTACTTTTAGCTCCTCCTTCTTCTTCCATCTCTCTGCAACCACTCCTCCTCCTTAGTAAGTTTAGCACTTGGCTCACAGTTCTCTCCACCTCACTCTCTATTCCCTTGAAACACCCTGACCACTCACTCTCTGACTCCTCAGCACTTATTTTCTTTGTCTTTCCTTTACCTCAATCATGAATAGGTGTGGTCATATCTTGGCTGTCTCTCCTCACCTTTCATGCAACCAAATTTTCCCAAGGTGTTAGAATTACTAGTTACGTTTCTGCAAAATATACTTGGTTATATTATACTTGATCAGTTTCTGCATCTTAATATGTAGCAATGTAGATATTTGTGTGTTTTATGGCACACACAATTCAGCAAATACTTATTGACCACCTACCATGTTTGAGATGACTCCAACCCGTCATCAATGGAAGGGTCTAAGCATATTCTACTCTTATTGTTCTGAAAGGCAGTCATGAGCATACCATACAAGGACTGGCTAAAAGAACTGGACATGTTTGTGAGGGGGAGAAGACTTAAAGGGACCACTGTAACTGTCTTCAAGTATTCAAAAGACAACAATATTGGAAGATGGATCAGACTTGTTCTGCTTGGTTCTAAAAGGCAGAACTAGATGTATTGGGCAAAAGATGCAGAAAGGCAGTTCTCAGCTTGGTTTAATGAGGAAAAATCTTCCTAACGAATTAGAGCTATCCAAAAAGGGAGTGCACTGCCTTGGAAGATAGTGGATTTCCCATCACTCTAGTTCTTCCAGTAGGGGTTAGATGATTTAAAAAGGGTGCTAGGAAAGGAATTTGTGTTCTGGTATGGTTAGATGACCTTGGAGGTCCCTTCTAACAGAGATTTTTGTGATTCTGTGATCTGATTTCTAGTAGTTTGATTCAGTAAAATCACAATAGACATTTAACTTCTTTCTGTTATAAGCTAACAGCAACTTTTCCTATGATTCAAGGGTACTTCCATTTTTTAGCCTTCTAATTGCTTGAAAATGTATTTCCAAAAGGTTTGTAGACATACAACTTCTGTCCCTGAGAACACACTTATTCAGTTCCAAAGATACTTTGGTTTTCAAAATGCTGATTTAATGTCAAAAATAGATCTCAAATATCACAACCTCCTCTTCCAACGACCCTTCTTTTACCATGGAATATATATATTGAGCTCATTTACACGTATCAAGGTAACATTTTTTCCTTCTATTTCGATTCAAAAAGATATATCAATAAATTAGAATGAAAAAGATAGAGACCGTGCCTGTGATTTCATTGGCATAGGAAAAGGAGAGGAAACTCTCTGAACTAACACAATATTAGTACCTTTTCTGTTACTTATAGACTTAGAGCACTGAGAAGTTAAGGGGCTTACTCAGGGTTATGCAGCCAATATGGGTCAGAGGTGAGACTTGAACCCAGGTCTTGGCTTTGAGGCCAGCTCTCTATCTACTATGCCATGTATAGTATCCTCTTTGACTAGGATTACAACCTGAATCAAATAACATGAAATTTAATATGGTACTGTGTACCAGGCACTGTACTGAGTGCTTAGTTATGACTTCATGGCTAAAGTTTTATATATGAAAAAATTAACTGTATAAATTCAGAACTCAGGAGACTTGATGATGATACTTTGTGTGAAAAGGATCTGGTGATTTTAGAGGGTCACAGGCTCAAGATGGGATGGTAGACAAAAAAAAACTGATTCCACCTTAGACAACATTAAAACAAGCATAGTGCCCAGGTTGAGGAAGGCTCCAACCCAGAAGTCCTCTACTCTGGCCAAACCACATTTGGAGCATTGTGTTTAGTTTTGGCTACATGTTTTAGCCAGGAAGTCTATAAATCAGAGCTTGGAGAAGGACTAATTGAATGTAAGCTCTCTGAGGGCTTCTCTTTATATCTCCAGAATCTAGCAGAGTGCTGTACACATAATAGACCTCTTATAAATGTTTATTGATTTGATTAAAATTGAATGAAGGGATTTGAAAACATACCATACTAGGACTTGTTAAAAGAACCAGAGAGGAAAAGATATAGGGCAATTTGACCCTGGAGAGGAAAAGATTTAAGACAATAGGATAGCTGTCTCCAAATATTTGGTGAGCTGTCCTGTAAAACAGGCAGTAGACTTATTTTACATGTTCCCAGAGGACAAAACTGTGAGTACTGGGTAGAAGCCACAGAGACAAATTTCAAGTGGCTATGAGAAAAACTCCTAAAAATTGGAACTGTCCAAAAGTAGGACAAGCTGCTTCAGGAGATAATCTTGCAGGTTCCTTGTCACTGGAAGTTTTCAGAGAGATCCCTAATGTGTATTTTCCACAGCTCTTGTGGAGGGGATTTCCGCTGGTGGAAAGGCGTGAATACATGTCCTCTGGAACCTGAGATTCTGTGATCTAGTCTGAGATTTCCCTTGGCCCCATGGAAATGGATAAGTTTCAAGGACAGCAACAATAGTAATAACAGCTTGTATTTATAGAAAGCTCTACAGTTACTAAGAATCTTCTCTTAGTTAGATATACATGGGAAACATTTACTAAAAGCCCATTTTGAGCCTGTGTTGTTAAGAGATCTTTTCAGATTGGAATTATTTGTAGATTCCTTATCCTGAACTATGAAAGATTCAAATATAGCTTTATGTCTATTCAAACAAGAAAGAGAGGCAGTGTGGCAAAGTGGATAGAGATCTAGAAGATCTGGATTCAGTCCTGCCTTTGATACATACTAGCTGTGTTACTAAACAAGTATTTATTAAGCAAGTAATATTTGCCAGGCACTATGCAAAGTATCAGATTATGAACTCAGATATTTCTGACTTCATGCCCAGGTGCTCTAACTACTGAACCACCTAGCTGCCTTAAAAAAAAAAAGTGGGCAAGTCATTTAAGCTTTCAGTAAGTTTCTAAGACTCAGTTCAGGACAGGTGCTGACCTGTATTGGTAACCTACACTATGAAAGCATGGTGGTGGTCCCCCTCTTTCTCTTAAGCAACAAAAAGGAAAAAAAAATAAAACCTCAGTCTGCAACATGGCGCATTTCACAAGAAATGTTATAATTGAATTTAGTAGATATCTATTAGGTTCCTACCATGTGCAAAGCACTATGTTAGTCACTAGGTACTCAAGGATAAAAACAAAAATAGTACCTGACCTCAGAGAGTTTACATTTTTCTGGAATGACTCTACTTTCCCTCTCCACACTTCCATTTGCTTGCCCACTTATCTGATGACCTGGCTTGATCTCATGCATCCTAATTTTATTCCTGTCCCTTGTGCCTCCATTCAACTACTCACCTGCAATGACCTCAGACTTTGACCATGATTTTGGCTTGTATTGGCCCCAACGGTACTATTACTTTTGCTGCTTGCTTTCTTCCTGAGATTTTCTCCCTTCCTCTCATCTTTTAAGCCTAGGCTGGCTTCTGCTGTTAGCTAATCATAAACTACACTCTTCTTTGTGTGCCCCGGATCCCATCAGCTATTTAGGTATTCTGAACATGTAAGTCCAAGGCTCTTTCCATGACTCCGTGTCATTACTCTTTGAAGACTTAGAAAAGTAAGATTTTCCTGGAGCAAGATGGATATCTGAGATATAAGCTTTTTACTCTTCTCTCTTCCTGTCAATGGAAATGGTAGTTTTTACTTTAGGGTGAAACAGTGGGAAGTTGGACAACAAAACTAAGTCTAAACCATCACTATCCTTCCTGTGGCTTGAGAGGGAATATGAGTCTATGCAGGAAAGACATTGATGAATGGAGACTTGTTCAGAGGAGTGATGGCATATGTGTAGACCATATGAAGATAACTAGAAGGAAATGGAAGTATTTATCCTGGACAAGAAAAGATTTAGGGTGTGGAGGTAGGATATGAAAACTATCTGAAGTGCTGTCCATGGAAGAAGAAAGATCCATTCTGTCTGGCCCCAGAAGGCAGAAGTTAGGAGAGCTGGGTGAAATTTAGAGAGCCAGATTTCAGCTTTATGTGAGGAAAAACTGCCTAATGATGAGAACTATCTCAAAGTGGATTGGGGCTGAGAGGATCTTAGATTTTGAGTTGGAAGGTAACTTAGAAGCCATCAAATCCAACCTCCTCATTTATGGAGGAGGAAACTGAGGAACAGAGAAATTTAATGACTGGCCCAGGGTCACACAGCTAGTAAGTGTCAGAGGTAGGATTTGAACCTGTCTTTCTGAATCCAGGTCCAGCCCACTATTCTCTCTGCCATATTACTTCTCAAATAATAGGTTCCTAAACACTAGAGGTCCAAGGTGTCAGGGTTGACTGGATGACCACTTGTCAGGGTTATTGGAAGGGAATTCCTATAATAGGTTGGTTAGGCCAGATGAATTCTGGGGTCCTTTCTAACCTTGAGATCCTGTATATTTATGTAAAATACCATTTCATTTGACCATATATTTCCAAAATAATATTTACTGTATCATTTTCACTATAAGAGAATATATGGCATGTATCTTTTCTCTCTCCCCTCTTCTTTTTGAGTCAGGTTTATTTCAACCACAAAAACTTAAAAATTAATGCATAATATTAATGTGTAAGTAATTCCACAGAAGGATAAAAAATATCTATAATATTTTCTTATAAATGAATTTCTGGTTATTTTGTTTATTGGGTTATTTTAGGAAAAGCTGTGCATTTGGCCACATAATGGAGAAACCTCACTGCTAAAAGTTCTGTTGTCCCATCTCTGAAGACCCTTGGGGTCTAGGTATCACCCCAGTCCCTGTGACAACAAATTTTAAATTGACCTGTTAAGGAGCGGGTCACCTATCTACATCACTTGTATCCTTCTAGAGAACCCAAAGTTTAGAGATGAAGTTGATTTTAAGCTCTTTAGGTGAATCCCTTAATGTCCCTGCAAAATAGAGCATAAAGGTATCAAAGGGAGACCTGAAGCGGAGATGGGCAAGGAGTTTGCACATAATTCTGTAGCCCCAAACACACGGCAGATGGGTTCTAGGCCTAGAGGAACTGAGGCTCAGCTGTGGCTGTTCTAAATCCTGGGAATTTAAGTTTCTTTAGAAGGTATCAGGAGTTTGGCCTCTCTCTGTTTCTTTCTCTGTCTCTCTCTCTTTCTAAGTTGGCAGTCTTTTTTTTTTTTTTAGTGAGGCAATTGGGGTTAAGTGACTTGCCCATGGTCACACACCTAGTGAGTATCATGTGTCTGAGGCCAGGTTTGAACTCAGGTCCTCTTGAGTCCAAGGCCAGTGCTTTATCCACTGCACCACCTAGCTACCCCTAAGTTATCAGTCTTATGAATGTTCACTAAATAGAACATTATTAACCTTCTCTTCTGAAACATTAACCATCTTATTTCTACACCCTGGGTAGTAATAAAAAATATCTGCTACAATATTAACAAAGCTGAATCGTGCAACTTCAAAAGAGAAAGAGAATATGGATAACAATACCTTTGACTTTGACTTTTTTCATTATAAAGATAAAATACATAACACACACATGTATTTTACAAATCACAACAGTGGAAGAAACCAAAGTTTTATCTTTTTTTCATATTGTAGTGACAAAAAGAGATACTAGTATACTAACAAAGCTGAATGGTACAACCTACTTCAAAAGAAAAATAGAACATAAGTCAATAGCTTTTTTTTTTTTTTACTTTCTTTCAACTTTGTTTCTAAGGGCAGAAAATATGTATATATTCTCTAAATCACAATAATATATTTAGAAGCACTAAAGAAGGTACAGTGGGGTCCTGCAATCTTAAGGATGGTGTATAAGAACCGACACGCAAGAAAACTCCATCCATTAGATATTGCTCAGGGCAGCCACCCCGATGAGGACTTTTCCTTCCAGAAGCTCTAGATGGCACCACCTCCAGTGTTCACATGGCTGACCTTGTCTTCTGCATTCCATTTGGCGGACCAGGTGCCAAGTATCCCTACCACCTATGATTGTGATGCAGCATGGGGAATGAGAGAGCTAATGAACAATGTGGTAATAGCTGCCACTAAGGGTGTATCTTTTCAAATTAATTAGAGGGTTCCTCAGATATCTTGAGGGCCTCCACTCCAAGGAGAGCTGTGACCCGAAGGAGGGAATGTGGGTCAAAGTCAGCCTTGCATTGTCCCTGTAATTATCCCTGTCATGGAAGTGTGTCAGCCTCCACACAGAGAGCGTGGTGCATTTGGGGTCTGGCATAGCTATTGAGATGGTCTTGGTTCAAAGATCATCTTTTAAGGGGACCTACATTTCCAGGGATAAGGCTGCATTGTCTTAACTCCTCAGAGATTCTCAATAAACATGTAGTGGTAGGAAAATGGTTCTCAACATTGGTTTGTGTGCAGGGACAATTTCTGTGAGAGTTCCCAGGGTAAGATGACTACCAGTGGTGATTGGTGGTATTCTTGGCATGGGAATTTATATTGTCTGTGAACTGAGTGGTTCTCATCTATTGACCCCCTTAACCCTTAACAGCAACATGATAGGATCCCTGCTGTTGTGGAAAAATCCAGTCCTCAAAGGATATAATTATGCTTCTCCTTGGGTAGGGTTTTCCATACATTTAAAGCAAAAAAGGAACACAAGCTTTTTATTGTAGTTTTTTTGGTTTTATTGAGAAAATTATTAAAGATTCAGAAAGACTCCAGAACAGCAGAAAGGTAAAACAATATATAGCACATATAGAAAGAACAAGTTTAAAGGTAGGAAAGATAGAAGAGAATGAAACTAACAGAGAAAGAAAATATAAAAAAGCATGATTCCATTTTGGTTGGCTCATAGGCAAGAATCATTCTCCACTAGCTGGGCTGTGTCCTTTTCTCATTGTCTTGGACAGATTGTATTGCGAGCCAGGTCTCTTAGGGGGACAGATCTCTACTGCAGCAGGGCCTTTGAGAAAGGGACATTAAATTCCAATGGCCCAAAGGATTGTATATGCTCATGGATGCATCAATTCTATGAAGACCAGAAAAGAGCAGAAGTGAATCGTAGCAATCAAATCTTAGAGCTGGTAATGCCCTCAGAGGCCATATTATTCAAACCTCTTATTTCGGCAGATGAGGGAAATGAGGTGGAGTGGAGTGACATTGATCCTCTAATGTCCCTTCTGCCTCTGAGGATTGATTTTTCTCTGAGTCTGTGAAAGTGACATGCATGAGGTCACCGGCAGAGTGAGGACTAGGACCTCACCTTCTTAAGTCTCAGGCCAATGCCGTGTTCCTAAACCACTGTGAAATCTTACCGACTGGTGGAGAGTACGCCCATCTAGCAACAGCACTGCTTCTTAGAGCAGCACTGTTGGCAGCAGCATTTCTGCTGGCAGCAGCCCTTGCCACAGCCACAAGAACCACAGCCACAGCTGCCACAGGAGCCAGAGCAGCAGGTGCGACGGCAGCAGACAACGGTGGGGCTGCAGCAGCCTCCACAGCAGCCACAGCAGCAGGGGCAGCAGGCAGAGCAGCAGCCTACACGGCGGCAGGTACAGGTGGTACAGCTACCACAGCCACCACAGCCACCGCAGCCACCGCAGCTGCCACAGCCACCACAGCCACCGCAGCCGCCGCAGCCGCCACAGCCACCACAGCCACCACAGCCACAGCAACCCATAGTATCAGTACAGAGAGTTCAGATGAGGTGAAGAGAGAGAGGACTTGAGAGGTGAGTGAAGTCTGATGTTCTCTTTCTGTAGGGCAGCCCTTATATACCCTGCTGAGGGCTGGCCCAAGACCCATGATGTTTCCTTGTTGTTGTTTATCCCAGTTTTGATGGCCAGGTGAGCTCTAGTTTCTTATTCACTTCCTCCTTTCAGCCTCTTCTACCTCATTTAGGTTATTTATTTTAGGGCTTCCTAAATTTTAAACTGTTTCAAAGCCATATTCTGGTGGAAAGTTAAAAAAGCTGAAATATTTCGTCAAAGTTAGGGAACTTGAACACTTGCTAATGCTCATGAGAGAGGATACTGTTGTGAGCATCTTTCCTTTTATCTTTTGGCATACTGGGAAGAATGTTGGACAGGGTATCAAGAAACTTGGGTCCAAATACTGTCTTTATAATGTCCTGTCTCCTCAGACCAAACACTTGACACATACTAGCTGTGTGACCTTGGGCAAGTCACTTAACCCCAATTGCCTCACAAATTAAAAAAAAATAATGCCCTGTCTCTAATTCTTATTACTTGTATAACCTTAGGCAGGTCTCAACTTCCCTGGGTCTCAGTTTCTTTATCCATAAAATATGAGAATTGGACCAGATGGTTTCAGAGTTTTCTTCCAACTCCACACCTACATGCCTAAGAGCCTATGATTCTATCTCAGCCCTGCCTTTACTGGCTATACTACCATAGGTAAGAAACTTAGTTTCTTTTACCTTCCTGTTCCTTACCTGTAAAATGGGAGGTGGGAACGAATACCATCTATGCTACCTGCCTCATAGAGGCAGGATTGTAGAGTGTGCAGAAGAGAAAAATTTGTAAGAACACTAGAAAAGTAGGAAAGGGTCAGGGCGTATAGAGTTTAAATGTCAAACATAGCAGTTTATATTTGATTCTAAATATTTGAATCAACCCTCTGCACTAGCTTGTCAAAATACCTAAAAGTAATAGGAAGTCACTGGATTACATTAAGTAGGGATGATATGATCAGACTTGAACTGGGTAGCTGTAGGGAAGATGGATTGGGGTAGAGAGAGGCTTGAAGCAGGAAGGCCAATTACAAGGCTATTGTAGTAGTTCAGGCAAGAGGTGATGCTAGCTTGAGTTATCAGTGTGAGGGCTGTGTGAGTGAAGAGAAGAGATGGTGGTTTCTGATGAGTGGTAGGGATGGAAGTCAGATCTCAGGGGGTTAAGGGATGAATGAGTGGAGAACAAGTGGAGACAGTTAGTATAGAACGCTCTTTATAGAAACTTAGTAATGAAAAAGAGAAGACAGGTAAGTTAGATTGGGGAGTAAGTAGCAGAGCTAACAGAGAGGGTTCTGGTTATTATTAGGATATGGGAGACTTGAGCTGTTTTGTAGGGAGAGGGAAAGGTGCTAGGATCACAATCACAAAATTGCAGAGATTGGAAGTGATCTCAGTATCCATCTACTTGAATCCATACCAGAAAAAGAATTCCCACTACTGACACTGACAAATGGTCATCCAGTGTTTGCTTAAAGATCTTCAATAAGAGGGAGCCCAATACCCATTCCATTTAGGCATAGCTCTAATTAGTAGGACATTTTCTGTTATATCAAATCTAAATTTGCTTTTTTGAAACTTTCATCCACTATTTATAGTTAAGCTCTCTGGGTCCAGCAGTATAAGTCTGATCCCTCTTTCACACAACATTGATCTTGTCCCTCCATGAACTTCTTTTCTCGAGGCCAATTCCTTCAAATGACCTTCATGTGATGTGGACTAGAGGCCCTTTACTATTCTGGTTATCTTCTTCTGTAAGCTTTTTAGCTTATAAACATCTTTCCTTTAAAAAAAAAACCAACAACTGATTTTTAAATTTCCATATTGGTCATGTTGTGAAAGAAAATGCTCCCCTCCCTTCCCCCCAAAAGAACATGAAAAAAATGGAGTAAAAAATAGCATGCTTCAACCTGCATTGAGAGTCCATCACTTCTTTCTCTGGAAGGTGATAACATTTTTCATCATGTGACATAAAAAAAAGTTGAAGAGGCATAGTTTCTGGGTAATTTTATTAATTATTGCTAACAGATAATTAATAAAATGGGTTAGTGGCACTCTTGAATGCCAAAGACCCCTCAGGGCCTTATAAGCCCTTTGAAAAGTGGATGTTCCTGAGGGTGGAAATCAACTCTGCTTGATTAACAAGTAATGAGAGAATAAATATTATGAGAGGTGGGCTTATTCTAATGAACGTCTGAGGATATGACTCTGATCACTCAGTCTTGGACAAAGAGACTTATCTCTTCCCAGATCACCCCAGTCTAGGGTAATCTAGTCAAAAGGGGGAATCCACTTCCATTCAGACCTGAAATACAATGGGCCTGAATCCACCAATTCACCTAAATTAGTTTTCCTGGTTGGGTGGGATCTGAACAAGATTGAAGAGAATGTTAAACAATGAAAAAATAGGAAGGGAAAAAATCCTAGATCTCTCCAATAGTAAATTAATATATTTATTATTAATATAATATTATTAGTATTAATATAAGAGAGAAATAACCATTTTTCTCAATCAAAAGTCCTTTGGAATTGTCTTAGTTCATTGTATTGCTGAGAATAGCCAAGTCATTCACAGTTGATCATCATACAATATTGCTGTTACTTTGTACAATGTTCTCCTGGTTCTACTCACTCCATTTTGCATCAGTTAATGTTACTCTTTCTGGGTTTTTCTGAAAGCATCCTGCTTGTCATTTCTTAGACCTTAATACTATTCTATTATAATCATATACTATAACTTGTTCAACCTTTCCCCAATTGATGGACATCCTCTCAATTTACAATTCTTTGCCACTACAAAAAGAGCTGCTATCCATATTTTTGTACATATAGATCCTTTTTCCTTTTTAAAAAAATTCTTTTTGGGATATAGATCTTGTAGTGTTATTGCTGGGTCAAATGGTATGCACAGTATAAACATCCTTCCTAAACAATGGAGCCAAGAGCTGGCCACGGTGTTGTGGAATGATCTGAGCAGATCAGGCTAAGGTGAGATGATCCCCTCCTTATTCCAGGAAGCCAAGTCTTTCCATGAAGCTTCAGATCACATTAGCTCAGTCTTTTGACTGTCGTACCACACTGTTGATTCATATTGAGCTTGTGGTCCACCAAAATCTTCAGATCTTTCACAGACAAACTACTTTTGTATTATGCCTCCCTTATCTTGAATGTGTTCAACTGAATTTTTTGAGTCTAAATGTGCAAACATACATTTCTTCTTATTAAATTCCATTTTATTGGAGTCAGTCCATTGTTATAGCCTGTCAAAATATGTTTGAAGCCTGTCTCTGTCATCCACTGGTGTTTTATTCCTCCCATCCTTTTGTCTCCTGTGAATTTTCTAGGGATGTCATCCACACCATTTTCAGTCATTATTAAAAATGTTAAATAGAGCCACGAACACTCCACTGGAGGCCTCCCTGCAAGTTTCAATTGCACCAGTAATGGCTGCTCTTTGAATTTGGTCAGTTTTTAATTCATCTAATTGTACTCTTGGCTAGTACCAGGTCCTTCTTCCTTTTCTACAACATTACCAGGTCAAATTCTTTGGTGTATGGTTTGCTGATTTTATTCTCTTCTCTTTTTTGGAGATAAGATATTTTCCCTTCTCTTGTCCATTCTTCACAGTGTCTCTCTGTCTCTGTCTCTCTGTCTCTCCTTTCTCTTGCTCTCCCTAATTTGCTCTGGAGGCTGGATGTGCAGGAGCTACCCATGGGATTGATCTCACTACTGATCAGCGTGGGAGATTTGGCCAACTCGTTTTCTAACTTGGACTGATTTGTCCCTCCTTCAGTAACCTGGTGGGCTCCCCTCCCCCCAACTTCTAGGGTTATGTGTTGCAAAGTGCTGTGGGTAAAAAGACCAAAACAAAATCATTCCTGTTCTCAAGACATTTCTCTCGTACTTCTTCAACATCTATGAAGCAGGATTGGAGAAGGCAGGTATTGGGACTTAACGTAGGATTGGGTATCAATGGGGATGGTGCAATAGGATGCCCAGAGGCATGCAAAGAATTTGAGGATTGAGGAAGGTATATCATTGAGATTGACTAGAAAGAGAAGTAAAGCCAAGATGAGAGTGATGCCATAGTATGTTAAAATTATATATTGTTCTGGTCTTCCAGCCATGTAGTCAGTATAGTAAGTAAATTTAAAGTAGCCAATATAAAATGCAGCTACGTGGTGCAGGGGATAGTGTCAGATCTGGAGTCAGGAAGACTTATCTTCCTGAATTCAAATCTGGCCTGAGACACTTACTAGTTGGGTTACCCTGGGCAAGTCACTTAATCCCACTTGCCTCAGTTTCCTCATTCAAAAATGAGCTGCAGAAAAAAAAAATGGCAAATTATCTCTGCCAAGAAAAGCCCAAATGGGGTCATAAAGTATCAGACATGACTGAAACAACTTAACAACAACAAAAGTATAAAGTAGCAATAGCAGGAAGTAAGATTGCAAAGAGCAACCTAGAAGTCACATACAAAGCATTCCAATGATCAAAAGAGCATAACTTACAAACTGTATCACATATTAACCAAAAATCACATCCTAGTAACATGTGCTGAATCAGGGGAAGTCATCTAGGTTTTGCTGTCACAGATTTTTGGTCCTATGATATGTAAATCTCAGATAAGTTTTAAACATTTGCAGTAAAACCAGTAGAAATTGTACTGATAACTCTGAGATGCCATGGATGTGTTAACTTTAAAGTTTTACTGAAACTTGGAGATGATTTGGATATATTAGTGAACTAACCCCCAAGGTAGCACAGAGAAAGGTTAGTCTCTTCCTCCCCAAAACACTATAAAATGAGACCTCAAACTCTTGCCCTTAAATATGCTTCCATCTCCATCGGGTCCATTCTGCCAAGTGCTTCCAAATCGAATTCACTGTTACGTGAGTGATTCTCTGTGCCACTCTCCCTCCTATTTCTCT